TGACTTATTTCACTCAGCATAATGTCCTCCAAATTCATCCATGTTATGCGGGGTTTTGCAGACTCTACATTATTCTTTAGTGTTGCATAGCATTCCATTGTGTGTATGTACCATAGTTTGGTCGTCCACTCTTCCACTGATGGGCACGTAGGTTGTTTCCATCTTTTTGCTATTGTAAATAGTGCTGCAGTGAACATGAGTGTGCATGTATCTGACTCTCACCTCTCTAGGATATATACCTAGTAATGGGATTGCTGGGTCAAATGGTATCTCCAATTCCAGCTTTCTAAGGAATCACCATACTGCTTCCCAGAGTGGTTGTCTCACTTCACAGTCCCACCAGCAGTGTGTAAGAGTCCCAATCTCTCTACATCCCTACCAGCATTTGTTATTTTCTGTCTTGTTGAACCTTGCCATCAGTGCTGGGGTGAGATGGTATCTCATTGTTGTTTTGATTTGCATCTCTCTGATGGCCAATGATCATGAGCATCTCTTCATGTATTAGCTGGCCGCCTGAATATCCTCCTTGGTGAAGTGTCTATTCATGTCTTTTGCCCATTTTTCAATTGAAATGTTGATTCCTTTGCTGTTGAGGCATTGGAGTTTTCTATAAATCTTAGAGATAAGTCCCTTGCCAGATATGTAATTATTGGCAAATACGAATTTGTTGCTGTCATTTTTGTTATGTGCTTTTTCATGGTGTTGATTTTTTTTGTTCCATATAATTTTCTATGCTATCCTTATTGGGGAGTTCCCGTGCTGCGTCTTCCTCAGGGATGTGTTTTGGGTTTGTATCCTGGTCCCTTGTTTCTCTTGCTTTATCTTGCTTCTTTGAGTAGACTGTGATGCTCTGTTGTCTCTGAGGCATTGTGACATTTTTGTGTTTATATTTAATTGGTGATTGTATGTTGGAATGACTTGTCCACAATTTTCATTTTCTTTGTTTTGTTTGTATGTTATCTACGTAAGCAGGGTACTGTGTTGTGCTCCTCTATTCACTAGTTGACAGACCTTGTACACTCACAACCTGTCTCCTTTCCTGTTGTCAGCCTCTCATACATTCCTGTCGACCTTGGCAAACAGAGCCTATTCTTAGGTCCTTGGAATCCGAATGAGAATGCTATCACTTTAAAATCCAAAACGGCTACCACTTGTAAAGATTCAAAATGGCTGTGCCCTTGGTCACTTTAAATATCCAAAATGGCCACTGCTTGAAAACATTCAAAATGGCTGTACCCTTAGTCATTTTAAATATCCAAAATGGCTGCTGCGTGTAAACAATCAGAATGGCTGCACCCTCCGGACAGCAGAAAGTCCATAGCTCAGGTTGTCTCCCTCCTTGCTGTTCCCCTTCCTAGTCATAGGCCACCAGCGCAGTCATCCCTGCAGCCCTTGGTGACCAGGGCTGATCTTTAAGTCAATTCTCAGGTCCCAACACCCGTTGGAAATATTCAGGCTGTTGGTCTCGTCAGAGTAGCTGACAGTCCGCAGCGCCGACTGTCTCTGTACTCACTGTTATTGTTCAGATTTTTCCACTAGTTGGTGCCTAATCCACTTCTGGGAGCTCTCGTAGCATAGTTTCTAAGGCACTTGACTGCTAACCAGAAGGCTGGTGGTTCAAACCCACCAGCCCCTCCTCGGAAAGAAGATGGAGCAATCTACTTCTGTAGTGATACCACCTTGGCAACCCAAGGAGGGGTCGCTATGAGTCGGGTCCGACTTGACAGCACATAACAACAACAATAACAAATCCACTTCTACATAGTTCCTTTCAAAGCTCAGGGCTCCAGGATTATCTTCTGTATCTCTGTCAATTGATTCTCTTTTCTTTGTTGAAGAGGGTCTGTGTCGCTTGTTTGCCTAGTCCTCCATCTTACCGGAAGTCCCAATGATAGCATCTTGCAAAGCTGTGTGGTACAGTATTACACCATATATTGTAGATACCACGCCTTTGTCAGCATTGTCATTTGTGAATTTTTTTTCCCACTCTACTGCTTGTCATTTTCTTGACAGGGTCTGTCACAGAGCAAACATTTTAAATTTTGATAAAATCCAATTTATCAGTTTTTCCTTTTATGCATTGTACTTTTAGTATTGAGTCTAAGAACTCTTTGCCTAGCTCTACATTCTGAAGCTTTTCTTCTTTATATTTTCCTAAAACATTTTGTCTGGAAGTCTATGATTCATTTTGAGTTATTTTTTCTATAAGGTTTGAAGTTCAGGGCAGTTTAATTTTTTTTTTTTGCCTATGGACATCCGATTGCTCCAAACCCATTGTTTGAAAAGACTGTTCTTCTCCCGCTTTGTTAGAAATCCCTTGGGCATATTTGTTTGAGTCTCTTGCTTTCTTCTTTTCTTTTCTTTCTGTTCTTCTTTAGGTGCACATTTACAGAGCAGGGTTTGTTTTACATTCAACATTTCGTGTACATTTGGTTTCACTCCCCATTACCATCCCCAACCCTAACGTACTCTCCTCCCCGCCCTTCCCAGCCCCCCCGCCCTGTGCCCCTCATAGTTATGCACTCCTGTGCATCCGTCATTTCCTCCCTGCGAATGTGGTCCCCCTGGTGCCCATGGTCGATTACTGTTTGAGCCCATTTCTGAGTTCTCTGTTCTGTTCCATTGGTCCTTGTGTGTATCTTTCATGCAGTCATTATACTGTAGTGACAGTGAAGTCTTAAAATTGGGTAGACTGATTGCTTCCACTTTATTCTTTTTCAAAATAGTTTTAGCTGTCCTACTGACTTTACCTTTCCATGTACATTTTAGAATATTGTTATGTATACCAGAAATCAAACCCACTGTGAACCCTATTCGGTTTCCAAGGCTATAAATCTCTACAGAAGTAGATTGCATCCTCCTCCTCCAATGGAGCAGCTGGTGGGTTTGAACTGCTGACTTTCTGGTTAGCAGCCAAATGCCTTACCCACTCAGCACCAGAGCTCTTGATGTCTACAGCTACAAAAAATATCTGCAGCATTTTGATAGGAATTGCATTAAATCTGTCAGTTTGAGTGAGAGTCAGTGTCATTACTACACTGAGTATTCTAATTCACAAACATAGTACATTTCTCCATTTCTTTACATCCTTTTTTGATTTTTTCTCTGGTAGCATAGTGCCTAAGGCACTTGACTGCTAACCAGAAGGCTGGTGGTTCAAACCCACCAGCCACTCTTCAGAAGGAAGATGGGGCAATCTACTTCCGTAGTGATAATGCCTTGGAAACCCAAGGAGGGGTTGTTATGAATTGGGTCTGACTCGATGGCACGTAACAACAACAAGCATTTTTACTTTTCAGCAGGTAAGTCCTGCACATACAAGTTAGATTTACAAGTAAGTTTTTTTTTTTTTTTTTTTTTGGTATTTTGTATGTTGATCTTATACCTTGCAGTCTTTCAGAACACACTTTTTAGTTCCAGGGCTTTAGCTGTAGGTTCCTTGGGGTTTTCTGTGTAGATAATCATTTCAAGAGTGAATAGGGACAGTTTTCTTTCTCCCCAGTCCCCATCCCTTCTATTTCATTCTCACACTAGCTTACTGTGCTAGCTAGACCTCCCAGTGCAGCGGTGGTGGCAGCAGATAGCCTTACATTCAGTCTTTTAACACTGGGAATGATGTAAGCTGTACTATTTGTTTTGTTTTTGTGAATACTCTTTATAAAGTTAAAGATGTTTCCTTCTATTCTTAGTTTTCATCATGAATTTTATTAAATACTTTTTCTGCATCAATTTATATTATCATGTGATTTTTCTTTTACCTGATCTGTGAATATTGTACCAACTTCAAATCCGCGGAGTAAAGATCTTTTGGCCATGGTGTATAATTCTTTCATATATTGCTGAATTCTATTTGTGTATTTCCTAGGCTGGAATTTTGACTCTTGGCTCCTTTTTAATTTAATTTTATTTTCCCAGAGGTTGGCGAGGGCAAGAGACTGCACATTTGTATAGTTTCCATCTGGCTAATGCATTTTCAATATCTCCTGAGGTCTTAGGCTCCCTCTGATACCCCAAGTACAACTGAGAAGATTTACTGTTAGTCAGGTCTTGATATGTGACCACCTCACTCCCTTTTCTCTCATGTCCTACCTAATCTCATAATTTCTAGGTTGTTCTAACTGTTGTCTCCTAGAATCTAGCCCATATAGTAGACTATATCAGAAAAGTGTTCTTTTTCTCAAACAAAAACCTTACTGTGCAGATATTCTAAGATAAATGGAGAAGGATGAAGCGGTATAGTCACTCAGTTTCTATAAATACTTAGTTACAGTGTTTTGATAGGTTTTAGATTTCTGCACAAGTCTTTATTGCCTCATCAAACTTCAGTGCCTACTTTTATATATCATGAAACTGTGGATATGTAAGTGGAAACGAAGTCTTGCTTAGAGAAGCTTCCATTGATCAGGGGAGAGAGAAACTGCTCTATAGTCCTCTCAGTATAAAGGCCATAATACAGATTTTTTTCTTCTGATGCCACTTTAGTGAATCCATACACAAAAAGAAAACTTTGGAGAGGTGGAGCATAAGATACTATTTTGTATCGATTAATTAATTAATTAATTTTCACATATGGATTCTTTAAATTGACTCTTCAAAGAATAGGTATATATATGAGTATTTTCTGGGAGCAAGGCAGTAATATGAGACCATCTTTCACAGACACATTTTACTTTAGCAGAGAGGGATGATCTCATCATTGTGCTAACCAGCTGTGCTGAAATGCTCTGAGCTGATGTATGTGATAATGAAAAGTTTCTTCTTTCTTTCTCTCAGCTCTGCAAGTACTATGCACCAACTTTTAGTTCTATGTCAAGATTAAACCCACAGTATTTCCCAATATTTATATGGAGCCTGATGAAGTGTTTTTAGGAGAAGGTGACTGTGCTGTGACAATTGTTGAGCCAGGGGTTTTCTATGAGTTTCTCCACAATCCTCGTGACTGTGGCATCATGATTAAAGTAAGAGGAATGACTATTTTAGTAAAACCTGAGTGTTTTATGGTTCCTTCAGTAGGCCCACAAGTGAGAAGTCACTAAGTGTCTATTTGTAGTATGCTGTTGTTGTTGTTATGTGCCATGGAGTTGGACCTGACTCATAGCGACTCCTCCTTGGGTTTCTGAGGCAGTATCACTACGGAGCTCTGGTAGCATAGTGGCTAAGGCACTTGACTGCTAACCAGAAGGCTGGCGGTTCAAACCCACCAGCCACTCCTCGGAAGGAAG